TATTCCAATAAATATAGTGATATTTTGTTGGAATAGTGCAAGGCTAAAGGGGTCACCTTGTGTGATCTAAAAGACCCATGTTTTATGGACTAAACACCTTTAAGCCCAAGAAATCCAGTAAGGCCCACATAGATGGATCTTGTTTCTTTTGTGAAGAAACTGGACACTGGTAGAGGAAGTGCTCCTATTATATAGAAAGAAAGTCTGAAAGATACTAATACTTCAGGTATCTACTGGATAGAACTCATACTTTTCGAGTAACACTCAAGTACTTGGTACTCAATGTTAATCTAATATTTGTAACTTGACGACAGATATTTACAGAAGAGTAACTAGCTGAGCACAACCAAGTTGGAACTACACTCTCGAAGCTTAGTTTATTATTTATGCTTAGAACATAAATTGCTTGTAATATAAAACTATATTTTTTTTGGAACAATGTACGTTTTAAATTTAGCATGTCTCAGTTATTTATTTAATTGTTTGATTATTTACTAGATTGTTTTTCAGAACGATAATACTCATATTCTGAAATGATTGAATTCTATTTCTGAGACTAGATCTCTTAATAGAATTACAAAGTAAATATCATCATTTTATAAATAAAATTAAGTTCTATATGCAAGCACTTTTGACTTAAACTTGTTTTAAATCAAACTTATCCATGACATTGTTATCTTTATTGTATAAATGAAATCCATATATTTCAACTTCAAGAAAGAGATATTTGAAGGCAAATAATGTAGTTTATTTGAAATATGTGAAACTTATTTATATATAAAAGATTCCTAATAATATTTTCACTAAAGAGTAGAGAAACTAATTATTAAGGAATTATACACTTTGGTGTATGACTTCCTTTTTAATGAATGTCTGAGATTAATCACAAGATACCAAATAACCTTTATTAAAAACTATAGCAGTTGTAACTATATTTTACATGGTAAGGCATAAGTGTGAAATCTTATTGAAGGTTTCAAAAGGTTGAGATACAAACCGGTAAAAATCATCTAAGGCCTTAATGATAATAAAGGATGAATTAAATTTTACTTGGTATGATTTGCTTTCTAATCGGTAGAAATGTCCTCCTTTTAACCTTTTGGGATTATACTTCAATCACTATTAATTGTATCAAGAATACAAACCCTAACTAATTACATAATTGTAGGATATTCTAAAAGGGCATTTAGATTATTATATACAAACGCACCAAGAATAAGTTCCTTTATTCTTCTGAAAGCTGAGTTAGTAGAAAGCAAGCTTCTAATGACAAAGCAAATAGGAGGCACATGGAACTTGAAGCAGCTTAAGAACCATAGCCTAATGTAACAATTGTTGGCACTAGTTTTAACAATAAATTGTTAAACATGAATAATAGATATTCATAAACACAAGCTGTTCATAATAATGGTAGAAATCATCTATGACTTGAGAAATGTGGAATCTCTCATTGATGAGTTCTTGATGGTTTCTAGTTAAACCATGAACTACCAAAATGTTATATCAGATCTTGAATCTAAAAAATGACTTAGATTCATGAACATTGAAATGTAATCCATGTTTAATAATCAAGTATGGGCTTGATTAATCTTTCTCTTTTTAAAAGTCTAGAAGGAGTAAGAGATTATTCTAGAAAGAATATATACATGGATATATATACACATTTAGTAATACTTGTTATATAAAGATTTTCTCATACTCATGTCATTCACTATGGTCGTTATAATACTCATTACATTGACTATGATCAAACCTGTTCAGAAGTAGCTATGATTAGATCAACAAGGATGTTATTTACTATAACTTCATATTCTTAATATGAGATATAGCAAATAGATTTCAAGAAAGATCGCTTTTCTTAATAGACATCTACGAGAAGATATCTATATAGCTTAGCCAGGAGGTTTTCTTAATCTTTGTTATCCTAACAAAATGTGTAATGCTTGAGATCCACTTGTGGATATAAAGCAAACATCTCAAGGTTGGAATAGTCATTTTAATATAAAGGTACAAGGTATGCTTTTATATCAAAATGAAAAGGAACGTGTGTGTGTTTACTAAGAACTAGTGGGAGCATAGTGATATTCCTAATCTTGTATGAAAGTGACATACTTAATAATTTGAAATGACATTCCGACTATGCAAGGTCGTTTAACCTTGACTCGGAAAGTATTTCTAAGATGAAAGACATAGGAATAAAAAGATACATTCTTGGAATGTAAAATATATAAGAGATAGATAAAGATGAATGTTAAAAGTTTTAAAAATTCTTTTTGCCTGAAATGACAATATCTTGAAAGAGGTCAAGATACAAGATTCCTTTGGAAGATTCTTGACATTGTCACATGACACCATTTTTGAGTTTGTCTCAAATGGATCTAGCACATAGGTTTGAGCTAGATAAATTGATTTATATTCTATTTGCGTGGCAAATAAATCCATCATTTATGTCATATCATGAGATACAAAATTGAATACATGGTTAAGACACTAGATGACCAAGAGAACATTCTAAAAGTACTTAAGAAGAGCTAAGAGAATGTATATGAGATAATTAGTTTAGAACAAAATCTTAATGTAAAGAGCTACATATGATTTTGATTTCTAAACAAATATAGATAATTATGAATTATAATCATATTATGACTTCATTATGGAATGAAGAGTAAGTTTAGTTGGAATGAGGTCCAAGTAAAACAAAATAACACAATCTACTAAATAAGAATACACTACTTTTCAGAAGTTGAAATCAAATATAATTGGATGAACTAGATCATTGAAAAACTAGTTTGAATCCTTCCATTCAGGCATAACCTAGAAATCTTTTGTGAGTAATAGAGTGTACTTAATGAAGCTAAGAAACTCTATGTCACATAAGAGCACTAATTATATTCTCCAAAATATTTAACTATACTTAGAGTAATGTCAAATATGGAGATGATTGTATTCGCATAATTCATACAAATTAAAATTAGTCGGACCGATTTATAAAGTCCATATATGGGCTAAGCATGATTAGTGACACTTTAGCTATAGGACTTCATTATTCTAGAAACGGGATTTTGATTTGAATTTAGTATTTGGATATTGGAACATTGTAACAACAACTATTAAATAATGTTTTGATATAATGGGGTATGATCATTACGTTAATACTTGTTGTGTTCTATATTAACATGGTTAATCCATGAATAATATTATTATTCTAAAGGTTCATAGTCGGTCATGATTGTGGGAGCAATTATGAAGTAAGACTAATATGAAATGGATTGGTTGAATCTCACCAGATGAAAGTAGGCAAGAAGTTGTAACCAAGTTTCATAGGTACTTGTCAGAGAACTAGTACTGAACGGACCCGCATCAAGATCAACTCATAGATCATAGTCGTGAGTGACACTGATTAAAAGGTATTATCTTTGTATCCTTAACACCTGAGACACATAGTGGGACTTAAGTGTAGGGAGTGTTGTGCTTTGATATGACCAAATGTTGTTACTTAATGAGTAGTTATAAAAGTCATTTTAGGATATGGTTTGAACTATACAAGAGGCTTATTTAGTCAAGATGGGATTTGTTCCTCTTATATGTTGAGAGTTAGACATCTAACACGCGTTACCCAAAGTTGAATTACAAATGAGATTGATTGCGATCCAAGGCTCATGTTCAACAGGATGTCTGTAACAAAGGGATAGTTGATAAACTTACCTTAATACATCAATTGAAGCTTAGAGCTTTTGGGAATTAGATGTTGATGAATGATATTCTTCGTCATATGTTATTAGGGGCAGTGAAATGTTGCTAGACGTTCACCACTGTCTATGTCAATCTATGATAAGTCTTGTGCAAGTTACCATCAATTGAGTATTTATTACTATAATTTGATTATTAATAAATATATCAACACTTGTATTTAATTGGAAAATTATTATTTCATGGAAATAATATTTCTCTAATTGGAAATTTATTATTTGTGGAAATAATATTTATTGGAGAAATAACAACTTATGAAATATATCATAAAGTATGATTACTTATAAGTTATATATATGATTATATCTTAATAAACTAGTTAGAGTTTATTTATATAAAATGTAGTTTTATATAAAAAAGATATTTATATAAGACTTGTTACATGTTATATGTATAGGAATCACTTTCATAAAAGATAAGGCTTTTATATAAAGTTGTATATATATATATATATATATATATATATATATATATATATATATATATATATACATATAGACATAACATCTAGTCATGGGATTATTTTAATGGACACACTATGCTCTCTTTTTTAACCATCATGTCAGAAATTAAGAGGAGTATGGCTAAGTGATGTCTTTTGATTATTTTATTCAAGCATGCTTGTCCTCACGACCCATACTTTGACTAGATTTAAGTAAGTTGCTTTATTAGATTTTTTCTAGTATAAAAGCTAAGGTATGAAGGAATTAGAAACTAGTTCTTGCAAGTCTTATTGTTGTTCTTCTTTACAGCCTAAAACTGAGAGCAATATGCTCTCTATGGGGCTGTCATATTTTGGAAGTTCAAGGCCCTTATTCTCCTCCATTCTCTTGCATTTTGATCCTAGACAAAGTCTAACATATATTTGGTATATATTTCAAAGGCTTATGAACAACAAATTACAAGTGTATACTAGCATGTTTTGATGATTCTACTCTTGCTTGGTGGATACTTATAGAAAGCTCTTAATTTAGAGCTTAATGCCATCTTCATCAACTTCCAACCTCCCATGAGGATCAAAGTCTTCAAAAGTTGTTATGCTTTCCCTTTTATGGTTGTTTTAATCTTTCTAACTCTTGCAACATGATCCTTGGTGGGTAAAATAGTCTTAGTTTTATTCAACAATTGTCAATTTTACCGGTTGTGAAACCGTATTTTTGAATAAAATCCCAACATTCGATATATCTATAAATTCGATATATGAGAATACTATAGTCACACCACTTGAAGTTCATATTTCCAAATCCTTTATGGAGGAGGGTATAACTTCAAACATCATTCAGAATGTATCTAATACGGACTCAAATGTTAATATACATGAAGGGATTTCAACATCTGCTCTTGATACTTCAGCTATTCCACTGCCACCACCATCGTCGCCACAACCAACTTCTATGATCCTTTATACTTTAGTTCCTGTGGTGTCTCCTACGTTTCAAGCAGTTATGAATGAGCCTATTGGAACCTTTTTTTTTCATCTCAATCAACAGAAGCAAAGAAAACTGTTAATGAAGAAGAAGATGAAGATGATGTAATGGTTGGGTTTGCAAAATTGGAGTTTAGTCCGGAAGAAGAGAATGTTCCTAATAATCCTATCATGTTTGGTAAACAACTAAAGATCCTGAACTCCAAACTAAATTCCATCCTTTAATTCTTGAATGATAGTGTTGGGAAATCATTTGTTAGTGGAGTGGAGGTTGAATTTTTGTTAAAGTCCCAAGAGTCACGAATACATAATTTAATTGAAGGTGGCGATAAGAGTATTGGCGTGAGGTTGATTACTCATTCTCGTACTTTGAATTATGAGATTACAAAATTACAAGACGTTACTCATGAGCGTCAATTGTTATTTCACAAGTTGGTGAGTACTTCAAGGACCTCTATCGAGTTGAATATAAAGGATTTTAGTGATTTATTCTCCAAAGAAGTTCATAAACTTGATATCTTTTGTGAAGCTGTTACAGATAGGTTCAAGTTTTGATTAGTACTACTACTCGAGTGGTGGAGGATATTACTACTTTTAATAAAGATTACACTAGTGAGATGAAGCTAAAGAATGAAATAGATGGGATGGTGTTTGATAGAATTGAGAAGTCTCTCACTGGATTTCAAGAGACTCTATCGAATTTTCATTTTATGACAATATGTTCTCTTTCCCAAGAACCACTCTCCATAATGGTTTCTTTTGTCGAATCATGCTTTAAGACTGAATTGGCACCAATTATGGATTTGGTTGTTCGACTTCCAACCAATGTTCGATGTTCAGTGAATGTGTCGCAAAGGGAGAAAAAGGGTTTCGTTCATCGAAGGCTAGTGGTGAAAAAGGAAGGGATAAATTTTGGGGAAGGAGGTTCAAGTCCTGTAGTGATAAAAAATACTTCAACTGTTGATCCTAAAGACAAAGGGAAGTATATTCTTGTCGAGCCCTCAGGTGAAGAAAAGAAGAGGTTATAAGAGCTCGAGATGGAAAAACTGAGGCAGTTGAACAACATTATGAGGCAAATGAAGGATGATCCACTAGGTCTCAACAAGAGCGATCCAAACAAATTCTGGTGCTATGTCATAATCGAAATCTCAACATTTAGTAAAGAAGATGACTTTGTTGTTAAACCAAGGAAGAGTTATGCCAATGAAGATATTGAGTTTATTCAATTGGACTTTCTAGTTAATCACTCGTTATTTGTTTTTCCTCAGTTCAAGATTGTTGAGAATTACAATGATAAGTTGGAATTTAAGAAGATGAAGATGCGTTTCCATGCACTGCTTAGAAAGAATGAAGGTGAAGTATGGTCGTTAGTTAAAATTTTCAAGCTTGTATCGGTAGCTCTAGATTCGTTTTTTGAAAGATTTTTGTAGAATTTTTGATACAATGTTGTTCGTGTAAATAACATGCCATTCAACCTTACCATAGTAGACTTTCCTCTCATGAACGTGAATGATATCATAACGACTGCGAAGTTAATGGGTGATCTAAGCAAGACTCAAGTTCCAAACAAAGCTACATACATTCTTGGATATAGGCATATCAAGACTTTTCTGGATGCTTATTTTGCTGATTTGGCTCTTATTGATATCGATCTCTTCATTATCTTCAACAAAAAATCAAAAGTTCCTAAGGCATTGTTAAAAGGAAACATAAGCATAAAAGATTATGAAGATGGATATAATATTCATGATCCATTTGAAGTTGTGTTCATGGGAAAATGAAAGAAAGGAAATAAGAAGAAGTTTTTTTTCATATCGATGATGTGGAAAGATATTCTAATCAACATCTTTCTAGTATCCTGCTTCACATCAACAACTGTTAAAGAAACGAGAATGAAGAAAAAGCTAAAGTTAGGAAGATCATCCTATGGTACATGGAGATTCGGAAGGTATTGGTTCAGAATATTAAGATACTACCTTCAGTTTGAAGATTCGACAGTTTATCACAAAGGTGGAGAATGTTGAGTCATGTTTTGTTGTGATATGTCAAACAGGTAGTTATCTTGTTATCAAGTACTCTGTAAATAACGAGTGTTCACAATTCCTCGTTATGTAATTTATTTACTAGGAGCTTTATTGATTCGCAATGTAATGTCTAGTTCTAGTATTTTTTTTTGGTTCTGTGAGTACCCTATAAATAGGGTAAGTACCATAGAGCATCGTAACATCTTTGGCACACTTGTAGTCAAGCTTTCTTTATACTCATTCTAGAATATATTGAGCATAAACAAGATCTTATTTAGATATTAATGTTATTTACTCTGATTTACTATCGATTGATTAAAACATAAATTAAAACATCATTTCAGTAATATTCAAAGTGAAAGAGGGTACACATAAAGCTGATCCTGTTGTTAAGAAGAAAGCACCATCTAAGCCCAACTTCACAAATGATGCTAGTGTTTCCAACGAATTCATTAAGCAAAAGAAGAAATCAAAATCGAAGTTACAATGTGTTGTTATTAAATAAGTAATTGGAAAGGAGGAACAATATGCCACACCCCAAACCAGAACGGCGGAAATGTTCGGGGGCGGATGACGTCATGTACAATATCACAACAATTGAATAATAGTAATCAAAGTAACAAAAACCATTGTATTGATAATATAGAGTTTACATTGTGTTCGTTACATTGTTTGTATGACACCAAAAGTGTATAGCAAAAACTATAAGACGTGACGCTATGATGCTCCATTTTCTCAAAACCTGTGAGTGTACCTGTCTACTGGTTCTCTGAGAATACAAGTGGTTTTGAAAGTGTATCAACATTTAAGTTGTTGATTTCATAAGTATTTTATATGAAAATGTATGTTCTTTTTTCCTTGAAAATGTTAGTGTGTTCCTCCAGAAAATCCAATATTTTCTTTGTATAAATGATGTAAATGAAATGTAGTCTTAGACCTTAAGACCAAAAATGTGTAAGTTTTCTTATGCTTAAAATTTGTAATATGAAGTATGAAATCATGCAAGTAGTGTAACCCATACTGTTTCCTTCTATGATCATTTGGTGTATACAAGTTATATATAATTAAGATCGAACGGACAGTCGAATGAGTGATTCTTCTCTAAGCCCACAACCAAACAAGGAACATGAAGTAAAGTAGAAATTACACATTCGGCTGCCTATCGGATCTTCATTGTATATAACCATAACGTATACACTAAGTAATCATAGAGTGAACATTAATGGTCCTTTCAGAAATGTAAGTTGCACTGTACTAGAAAATAGTATATTGTAATTGTACTTGTATGTAATCCTTTTTGTGTATGTGCCTGGATTCACCAATTGTACTGTAATATATTGTATTGTAGTTTTATTATTAAATAAAACCATTTGAAGTTATTTATGTATTCGTACACTAATCATATTGTTAATACCAAATTCTGAGTTATTATAACCATGCTTGATGACCTAAGACGGCCTGACACGACGTTCTTCAGGTGTCAGAATCGTTATGACATTTGTCATCCCAGAACTTCCGTTCCAACTGTAGCTAACAGTCAGGACGCGGGATTGTCAGTCCCGTATAGATCTATACACAAATTCACGCTCTCCCTCCAGGAGACTCTGTTATAAAATCAGGGCTTTTGTTTGTACATAGGTAAGTACTTGAAGGTGTGTCTCACAAAGCTATATTGACGTTTACATGTAGAATAATGAAAAGCCATTTTGTAATGATAAATCGTTTGTATTACTCTTTTCATAGTGAAAACCTAGTATGTATGTTCCATAAACTATACCTATTATAGTTTATATGTTTGTTTTTGTATTGTTTTCCGACTTGGTAACATAGTATGTAAGTCACATAAACTATACCTATTATAGTTTATATGTATGTTCTGCATGTAATGAAAATTCTTATAATTTAACACTTTGTATAAACGGTAATAAAAATATTTATGAAAATACCCCTTTGCTCGACATATCACAAAAGGGTTAAAGTTTTATTTAAATAAGTTTTATACTTATATATATATATATATATATATATATATATATATATATATATATATATATATATAGATATAAGGCATATATAATTGATATTAAAAAGGCAGTTGGACAAGTGATTTTACCCTAAGCCCACAACCAAATAAGGAACAGGAGTTAAGACGGAAACACCAGTCCTAAGCCAGTGGAATCTTAATTATATATAAAAGTATATATTTTGGGGAAAAACAAAAGTTGAAATAATTGAAATAGTTTGAAATAATTTAAAATGGTTTGAAACGGTTTGAAATAGTTAGAAACAGTTTGAAATATTTTGAATCTTTACACAAGATCTCCTTGTGTTGTACTTGTATTCCCCCCTTAAAACATGGAAAAATAGTGAAAACGTAAGGGTATGAACTCACCTTGAATGTATGTTCTTGTTTGGATACGAAGTGATAGAAGTGATCCTCGGGTTAGTAATCGTGTGGATAGTCGTATCCTAATAATATTTATATTGGATTAGTGTCTAAGTCCATAACTATATTTGGTATGTACTTGACCCGATTACGCATGGTTCTATTGGGTTGCCTTCACCACTACAACTTGACTGGAGGAATAATATAGAAGGGGGTGGTTATGGTTTATTAATATATTATAAGACTAATATGTTAAAAGAGAAATCATATTTGTTTAATTAATATTGGTCAAGAATTAATTAAGAATTAATTTTGTGATCAAAAGGAAGTTAATTGAACTAAGGGGACTGAATTGTAATTATGTGATAGTTGCAAAGTTGGGCAAGGAAACCCTAATAGATAGGGTGGACGAATTCTAGGGATAAATCCTTAAGAATTCGTCCATGATAGGGATTTTAGAATTATCTTATGGGCTGCTTGGTGGCTAAGTAACCATATAAGGATAATGACTGAAACCCTAATTTCTACACCTATATAAAGGACCCTTGGGCATGGGAAATTTGGCAACTAAAATCCTAGAAGTCCTAGAGCCGAAATTCTCTTTCCCTCTCTGTCTCTTGCTTCCTCCAATTGCTATTGGTGTTTGTGATTCATTAGAGGCACAACACTTGAGGTGCTAAAGTTCTCAAGGCTTCAAGA